CCCTGCCTGCATGGGTCCTGCCCATGGGGCCAGGCTGGCCTGGGCAGAAACCGACCTCCTCCGGAGGCAGCCATCCCCACATCCCCATGGCCAAGGTGGCTTTTCACCCCTCGAATCGCACCAGCGGGGACCGTGACTCCAGTGATGTGGAACAGCTGGTAACAACCCTCCTGCTTTATTTTATTCCTGTTTATAGATGGCTAAATATAACTTTCTGCTAATTTTTAACTCTTAGCAAAAGCTGCAATCTATAATCCATGATGTCAGGTTTGTGTTTTTCCTATTTGCAGGCTTGCATCAGTTCCAAGAGAGAAAGCAAGGTCAGGTTCAGCACAAGCTTTGTAGCTGAATTAGGTACGGGCAGCACATCTCATACTGGAGATCTGATGACCGTGGTGCAAAGAGGAGAAGGTGCTGCAGGACTTGGTGCCAAAAAGAGCACAACTTGCCCCAGCCAGAGCTGCTGCCTCCGAGCACCGCGCCTGCGGGCACCACCGCTCTGCTCCACGCTTGGTGGCAGGTTTTGCTTGTCACCAGGCAGACCAAAGGGCATTTTAAATGTTTTCCTAGCACCCAGCCAGGAGTAGCTCGGTGGATTGTGCAATATCTCCCTCTGCAGTGAGAACAGGAGCCGGCACCAACCTGCAAACCTGTGTGCAAGACAACACAACGACAAGCGAGCACAGGAGGGGTTGTACCAGCTGGTTGTACCCCCCCAAACACAGCAGGCAGCCAGCACTGCCGTCCCTCTGCCTTCAGGGAGGCAGGGATGACGGCTGGGAGGGCACCTGATGGACCACTGAACCGTTTTTCACCGTGGTATTTTCCTAACAGCTGAATTGAAAAGCCATGCAGTAATGGCAGCACTGCCTATTAAATACATCAGGTCCCATTTTGAAATATTTGCAGGCTAATCGATACCCCGATCATGCAGTTTGGGGCTCAGGAGATGAGACTTCGACAAAAACACTGGCATCACACACAGGGCGCTAGAAAAACTCATTTCTAAGTAAACAACAGATTCACCTAGATCTCAGTCATGTTTTACTGGGGTTGCATGAGGGGTTGTCTTAAGCCTCAACATTGCATGGAAAAAACATCAACTGAAAAAATAAAATCAAATTCTTCAAATGCTGGACTAAGGCTTGACCAAAATAAGGCAGGCAGCGAGCTGCTGTCCTGCAGCTCCTCCCTTCTGCACTCTTCTCAGGACTTCAAAATTCACCCTTGCTGACTCCCAGCTCTCCACTTAAGTTATTTATGTGTTCATTTCTACATCCTTTTAGTCCTTCCAGATAGCCAGGTCTCTACAATAACTCAGTAATTCGGGACGCTGTCCCACTGACATCCACTCGGATGAGTTTCTCCTCTCCCAAGGACACCAGCTCCCTGACACAACACACATTACGCTCTTTTTCCCTGGTCTAATTTTGAGAGCCTGAGTTTACCAAGGTCCCACCTAGGTAACCTTCAACTGCCCGCAGCTGCCGGGGAGGAAAGCCTCCGCTCTCCGAGGTTCAAACTCTTTTGGAAGGAGACCCAGGGAAAAACAACAGACTTTGTTTTGACCTACAGCCAAAGCGTGTGATGGGTTGCAAGCCATCGCAGGGCTGAAATGACTCTGATGATTTACAACAGCGCTGGCGTGTGCTTGGCTGCCAAAGACCAAACTCTTCCCCCAGCACTGCCCTTCCCCTGGGCAGCTTTGCCCTTCTTTGGTGCGGCAGCAGCCTCCGAGCAGGAACGGCTCTCGCTGTTAAACAGAGAAGCCAAAACTCCTCACACAAGAATTCATTTACTAACACATTGAAAACCCCATCCGAGTGTGTTGTAGACACAGTTTCTCCATCAGCTGCTAACAACATTTCCCAATTCACCCGGAGCAGCAGCTTGTGCTGTACGAGCCCAGCGCTGGAGGAGCAGGTTTGCACTTGGGCTTCTCCAGCAAACCCTCGCTCCTTCAGTCCCTACCGAATTCCCAAACCCATCTTTTCCCCATTAAGGAAAGCTATCCCCAGTGTGACCAGTCAAAACCTTCAGAGACAGCCAGGAAAAAATAATGGGAAAACCCAACGTTTGGGTCAGCATGCGCAATAGCAAATGGAAAATGCAGTGCCTGAGCTGACAGCTCCCCGTGCCCTTAGGGATAGCGATGTAGTAGCCGGACTTCATTTCTAAAGAGACCGCAGCAACTCAACTAGGACTCAAAGCAGCTGGTAAGCATCACTTTTTTTCCTTCTTACTAAGTTCAGGATTTTCTCTTTGGGGGCTGAATCAGGCAGACTTCTCTGTTCACAAGAAGTTTCCTTTCTTGGAGTTATTCTCAGAATAGCCAGCGAGCGTTTTAAACCAAGAATAGTTGCCCTTAGGTTCATACTCCTGGGTTTGGAAACACTATTTAGAGATCAAAACTCCTAACTCAAAAGTAGTCAGGGACAACAGTGGAAAACCACATGGCTATAGCAGTGCGTACTGCACTGGCACCTTTGGGTTCCCCTCTTTCCTCGAAGACTCCTGGGAAGACTGGGTTTGCCCCAGATCTCAGGGAGCTGTATGAGCTCCTTGCCAGAAACCCACAGCACCCAGGTTTAAGGTGCGAGCCCCCCTGGAGCAAGTCACTGCTGGAACATCAGCAAAAACAAGTCATGGCAAGTCAACATAAGCCAGACCCGTGGTTAATACTCTTTGAAGAAAATGCTGGAATTGGAAAAGAGATGGGTTTTTCTGTACTGTGTTTTGCACAGAGGTGTGGTGGGTTTTTTTAAATATATATAAAAATATATAATGTTTATATAGCGTTACGTGAAATTTAAATCCTGAGTCATGGTCTGAATCGCTGTGTAGCACTTACGAATGGCGTTGTTCTTATGGATGATATGCTGATTTCTGCTGATAAATGAATAAGCTTCATATAATGCATGTGAGCTTTTACTGGAATAGCTGCCAAGGGAATAACTGAAAGCCACCAGGAGTACTTAGTTCATTTGTTTCTTGTCTGAAAGGTTCAACTGACATTCAAATATAGCAGATTATTTCGTGTTACACACTGCTGAGCATCGAACAGAAGGAGGAATGAGAACGATACAGTAAGGGGATCTCATGCCCAGGCCAGAGTTTAAACTCAGAGCTAGCAGACGCTGCTTAAAACTTTCCCTTTGTAAGAAATACTTATGCCAGAGAATTACTTGGTTTCTCAAACAAGCAAACCACCTTTGTGGAGTCAAGCTGCAGAATAGCAGTAGTTTTCTATTTGCATATCACACCACTTTTCCTATTAGAAAGAGGAGAAGTGGCTTGTGTATTGTGACAGGGGGGCTGCAGAGCGAGGTGGATGGGGATCTGCCCTGCTTCGGGTTCCCTCAGATTTACACCGCTTTTGTCAGCAAAGAAGGGTTTTATTTTGCAGCAGCAGCAGACTTGGCTCTGGGGCTGTCTATTGACAGTGAACTCTAGTGTGTTTCCATGCAGTTAGATGCCCTTGGACAACCCATGCTGATTTTGGAGGGGTGCATGTATGGAGCCAAGCCAGAGGGGACACAGGCGGGGAGACGGGGCCCTCTCCACTTAGCGCAGCCCCCTGGGTCATGTCCATCTCGCAGTGTGCCCAAGTTTGCCGATCCCAGCCACTTTTAGGATTTACAGATCCGTATTTCACCTGTCCACTCCAGTTCATGGATGATCTCTGTCTCCCTTGTTGCAAAGGGCCGTGCCACGTGGTGCTGCAGCGCCACGGCAGGGCGGGCACGGTTTTAGGAGTTCCCTGATTTTACGCCTTAGGTACTGCCCACCGCAGTCATTCAGCAGAGCTTTGAAGTTGTCTTCAAAGCCTCCCCAGTACCCTGCAAAAACCGAAGTCATGTCAACCTCTTTGATATTCTGCTTCCTTTGAAGAAATTACACAAAAGCTAATAAGACATTATTTATAATATGGTATTTAAATAGCCTGCCTAGGAAAATCAACCCTGCAAAGGAATTGCTCTGAAATACTGTTTTTCTCGGAAATTACAGAGCTAAGGAACTCTAATGGCCACGCTGTTATTCTTATTATTGCCTATTATGCCACTTACAATCCTTACGACAGGATGCCTTTATTGTTTCAGGGTATAACCTCTGAGCCATATCACACAACAACAGTCATTTTAAAATATCTGTTTCCTAACAGCCTGACCCAAAGCTCACCGAGGTCCCACCGATTTCTGGGAGCGTCAGAGCAGAGCCCCAGGCTGGCCATAGGGTGTCACCACCGACCTGGTTCTGGGGAGCCACACTCATTGCTCTGACTGGCAAAGCAAAAGATGAAAGAAAAATACAACCCTATAATGCCTAAACGCTGCACAATTGTCCTCCCATTATCAAAAAAACATAATTTGGCTAGGAAAACAACAGCTTCATAATTTCATATGGTTGCTCCATCTCAGAGGAGATGGAAAGCCCAGCTGTAGTTTCTGTTCATGTTCGATAGACCCAGGTTAGCAGATACAGGTACAGGTATAAACCACCTACCTGCTCAGCCTAAAGGCTTCGGAGGTTTTGGGAAAGGCTCTGCCAGACCCATCCTTTCAACCAGCCGCTCACTCAGCCGGGCAGAAGTCAAGCACGTCGTGGCTAATTGAGCAGAGCTTATCGAAGAAATCAGCTATGGATCCCTCAGCATCTGCCGTGCTCCGTCCCCAGCCACGTCTGCGCCCACGCAAAGAGCCCCGGGGAGTAACTCTGGCCTTGGCTGCTCTCCGTGCTGGATGTGCTCCCAGGCTGAGGTCCACGCTGCTCCCAGGAGCCCCATCCCTTCCTGGGTCACGAAGCTCATGCCAGCACCATGCTGGATGTGGAGGGGCCCTTGGGGCGAGCAGAATTGCTTTCCTTTGGACGTGTTGATTCAAACTTGAGTCTTTTGTGCCTCTCTGCTATTCAGGGGTGGGGTTTTCTTCACTTTTTTTAAATTTTTTTTTCCTATTGCCCTTTAAAGTTAACAGAGTGATTGTCCACATCAGGAACCAAAGATGAGAGGCCTGGCAGGCTTTCTCCTTTGCTCGCTGCTGCTGCTGGCCCCTCGTTACACAGTGGTGGCCGTTGACGATGTCCAGCCTGATCCCAAAACGCCATGCGCCAACTGGATGGGAGGAGCACCTGGCTACCCTGGCCACAACGGGCTCCCTGGCCGGGACGGCAAAGACGGAAAAGATGGACTAAAGGGAGAGAAAGGAGAGGAAGGTTGGTGAGGAGCAGAGGGTACCCGTGGGCAGCCCCAGACCCCAGGCCCAGTCCCTGCAGGTCTCACATCTGGTGAGTCCATGCTCAACCTGTGTCCAGGTGGCTTTTGAATACCTCCAGGGATGGAGACCCCACAACCTGAGCCAAAGAGTTTGGTCTGGTGGTTATTTTTCCAGTTAATGATGGTTTTTCAGACGTGCTGTCCTCGGCAGCTCTGCACACAGCCACGGGGGATGAGTGGGCTTTCCTCCCTGTCTAAGCTCACGGGGGGCAGTGTTGAGGTCATTTCCTCAGGGACATCCCTTGCTCCACGCTGCCAAGCAGACCCTCATGCCACATCCCGCTCTGTGTTGTTGGCCAGTGGGTAGCTGTGCCAGCACAGCGCCAACAATTCCCTGTCCCCACTCTGTCCCTTAGGCGTGCAAGGACCCAAAGGCGACCAAGGTGAAATAGGAACACCAGGGCACGAAGGGCCGAGAGGATTTCCCGGATACCCAGGGCAGAAGGGGGAGAAGGGCGAAGGTGCCTTCGTCCACCGCTCTGCCTTCAGCGTGGGGCTGACGGAGCGAGCCCCCCACCCCAACGTTCCCATTCGCTTCACCAAGATCTTCTACAACGAGCAGAAGCACTACGATGCCAGCACCGGCAAGTTCTTCTGCAACATCCCTGGCACGTACTACTTTGCCTACCACCTGACGGTCTACCTGTCGGACGTCAAGGTCAGCCTCTACAAGAAGGACAAGGCGGTGGTCTTCACCTACGACCAGTTCCAGAAGAACAACGTCGACCAGGCCAGCGGCTCCGTCCTGCTGCACCTCAGTGCTGGGGATGAGGTCTGGCTTCAGGTGTACGGGGAGGGGGACAACAACGGCGTCTACGCCGACAACATCAATGATTCCACTTTCATGGGCTTCCTCCTGTACCCAGATCCGGATGAGCACTAAAGTGAGAGGTGCTGCATGGGAGAGGATGAGGTGGCTTAACCCCAGACGGTGTTCTGGGACGCTGGAGCTATAGCTATGCTGTATTTATCAGAAAACTGCCTTTTGCGTGGGCAACGATTGCCAAGGGCGGGCCCTATCTCCGCTGAAATCAGTGAGGTTACACGTGAGTGACTCCCTGGGAGGTCACTCCTACCTCTGCTCTTGTTCTCCTTGGGGAACCCTGGGCCCAAAGTCAAACACCACTCCTGCCACATCCTGAAAGAGTAGCTCTCAAGCTGGCCTAGCCTTTTTGTTAAAATTAAAAGCACTGAGAGAAAAGTTGGCTACATTTAAACATCAAATTCTAAATTTCCCTTTTTTAAACACCTAATTTCATTTAAAGCAACGGCACACGCTTTAGCCAGCATCTAAAAATTTGAGTAGAAGAGAAAACTACTCATGAAAGCCACCTCTGCTCTTGTTTGCAGCTGGAACAAGCGTTCCCATTTTTTCCACCATAACCCTGTCCAATTAGGGCCTTTGGCTTCCACCCATGGTTTGTCGTCTCCCTTCTCTAGGGATTTTTAATATATTCAGATTATAAACTGCAATTGATTTTAATCCTTTGATTTTCCTGTTATATCTACCCCCTTTCATTACCTCTAATATAGACAACACGCTTGGTTAGGTCAGGGATCTTCTCTCTTGATTTATCTGAAAAGCCTTATGAATGCCAGCGAGGCTACGCAGCAAAGCTGCCCATTGACCATGCAGCTCCTGAGGTGGTCACAGAGGTGTCAGCCGCAGCGTCCTGGCCCCTCTCCCCTCTGAAGAGCTCCCAAACGCACTCAGAAGTTGATTGCTAGCGACCACACCGTACATGTGCCATTAGCAATGGCTGGGACAGCGGCTGGGCAGAGCTTCAGGTGGTGCCACCTCCCAGGAGGAGGGGATCAACAGCCCCAGCACCCACCCCAGCTCTCGGCAAGGTTCGCTCAGTGGGGGAAGAGTATTAAGGCTGGGATTAGTAGCAATCCCATCAAAACTGCTCTCCAAGGAGCTTGCTTGACTTTTAGCTAAAAGAGGATTTGATGGCTTCTCAGATACAGTTAAAGACGACTCCCATATTAAGCTTCAGAACAAGCAAACACAGATCAGAGCTAATGCGTTATCACAGGCAAAAAACAGCATTAAAAGCTTCACCTGAAATTACTTCCAACAGCAGCATTTTCCACACTCCAGTGAATTACCACATCACAAATAATAGCAACAATAAAAAACTCTTTCAATGAGAATGCTCCTGCACTTTTGTATCCATCGTTGGGAAGGGTTTGAAGAAATGGGCGTTCTCTTGGCCTCCAAGGGAAAAACCCTGCTCCTGTCGTGTGAACTAATGGGAAGGGAACAGGGAAAAGAACAATAAAACCCAACAAACCACACAAACTCAACAAAAGGAGATTTAAAATGCAGCAGTTGCTGTATCAAATGGCATAAGAGGCTTAAAATGAAAGGAGCAACTCAGCGCTCTTGCAGTATTTTTTTTCAAATGTTTTCAGGTGGATTTTCTGAAGGCAGGGAAAATGGAAACAACCAAAGTGCTAAGAGGCATTTGGGATAAACACTAGGAGGAAATACTAATTTAAAGACTAGTTCCCAAGAGGCAGCCGTAACAAATTACTCCTTTCTTTGCTGTCACGCAGCAGGAGCAAACATACTTAGAGTTGTAACCCATACGCCAGGTCTCAGAGGCTTCAACGTGGCTTTTCACACTGCCACACACACCTGATGCCGTGGGCTGTAGGCCAGGGCAGAGCCCAGGATATCGTACCAGCCCCAGCAATGGCCCAGCACCAGTGTGACCCAGAGTGATACATCCACCCAGGCCACAGCATCTCCCACCTCAAGTCACCACGACTGTAGTGTGAGAAATGTGGGTCAGAGAGGTTCTCCTGCCCCTCTGCTCTGCCCTGCTCACACCACAGCTGCAATCTTGTGTCCAGTTCTGGGCCCTCAGGTCAAGAAGGACAGGAACTGCTTGAAAGAGTCCAGCAGGGCCACAAAGATGAGGAGGGAGTGGAGCATCTCCTGCTGAGGAGCGGCTGAGGGAGCTGGGGCTCTTGAGCTTGGAGCAGAGGAGACTGAGGGGTGCCCTCATTCCTGGGGATCCATTGGGAAAGGGCAGTGTCAGGAGGAAGGAGCCAGGCTCTGCTCTGGGATGGCCAATGCCAGGACAAGGGGCAATGGTCCCAAGCTGGAGCACAGGAGGTTCAAGCTGAAGATGAGGCCAAACTTTGTGAGGGTGAGGGTGGCAGAGCATGGCCCAGGCTGCCCAGAGAGGTTGTGGAGTCTCCTTGTCTGCAGACACCCAAAGCCCTGGCCGTGTTCCTGTGTGACTGCTCTGGTGATCCTGCTCTGGCAGGGGTTGCACTGGGGGAGCTTTCCAGGTCCCTTCCAACTCCTGACATTCTGGGATGCTGTGAAATGTGGCACGTATTAAAAACTTGGGTCATGCTGGCCCCTATGGGAAAGTCTCATTGAACCCCATGTGGTCACTAGGCCTCTGTATTGCTCCACACCACAATTCACCCCATTTGGGATGCTTGTGGGTGCTGTCGGATCTCATGGCAGATGACCAGCATCCCAGGAGAGGCCCAGGGTCACCATTGACTCCTGGTCAGTCTCCAGGGCACTGTGGCCAAAACCCTGATCAAGCAGAGATTGCCTGCTTGCCAATAGCATGCCCTTTCTATGCTAACTAGGTGCTAACTCATCAAGAAAGCAACCCCTGTAAACATAAGAAGACAAAGCACCTGGGAAGTTTTAAAGAAAACCATTAAGGCTTTCTGTGTTCTGGCTTTCCCCCCTTGTCACAGACATAAATACTGAAATGCAGCTTCACCAGGATGTGAGTGCAGAGACCATCTTCCTCCCAGCATTCATGATGAGGATGCTCCACACAAGGTGTCTGTATCACCTCAGGTACCTCAAAACCCACCAGACAACAGAGCAGCCCTCCAGGTAGCCCAGACAGCACACTGTGAACAAGGCAAGGCCCTGCTGCATGAAAACAGGGACCAAAACCCTCCCTTTAGGGATCTGGACTGTTTCTGCAGTCTTTCAACTCAAATCTGTGCAAAATTGTTGCTCTAAAGAGCTCAGCTAGAGAGACACACACGCTTACCTCTGTAGCAAGCACTGAATCCCAGTTTAAGCCACCACCCACCCAAAAAGCCACTCTACATCCCCAGGAACAGCAATCTGCCCCCTCACAGCTCACCCCTGGGGCAAATGCTCCTGACAGAGACTTACCCCATCAGCCAGGCAAGCCCAGCCGCGGGGCAGAACGGTGTCACCTAAGCGGCTACACACCCAAATAACGAGCTCAAACAAGCTTTTAATCTGTACCTGAAATTAAGCAGTCAAGACCTCATTCACCACAACGTGCCACTGGCATTTAAAAAATACAGGTTCGATATGCTGGTTGGAAATATTACTACACAAGGACGACTTGGGAATTCTTATGTTTTAGGCCAAATAATCCCAAATGTGCACTCATTCACCTAAAGAGGGAGGGCTCTCCATCTTGAGAAGTTACCTTAAGTGGCGTCCCAATTCAAGGGGAGAGTCTCTGACCACACACCCACTGCTGTGAGGACCAATTCAAGTGTGCCCTCCCACAGGGCCCCATTCAGACCCCAGTCAAATGTGATCTGTGGTCAGTACATGGTCATGTCAGCCCCCTCTTGGCTGAGGACCCCAACTTTCCCGCCTTTTGCCCCCAGTGTGTGGACCAGACAGGAGCTGTGAGGGGGAGCAGGCCTGGCACGAACAGGGCTAGAAACTTTGTGGCTGCTTTTGTTGGGTCTTTCTCAGGTCTTTAGCAGGGTGGGTGTATCTGCCACAGATGGGGAGCCCTCTGCCCCACTGCAGCCAGGAGTGAGTCCTGAAGCTGCCCTCAGCACCTCTGCTGTTACCCCCCGAAGCTGCCCAGTCCCTGCAGGTGTCTGCATGGGGGGGTCTCAACCAGCCAAAACCAGGCTGAGTATGGCCAGCAAATACCCCACCAGACAAGACCCCAGGGAATCTTGATAGCCTAGGAACTACCCAAACCCCTGCACATGGTATTGTTATCACCCCCCACCTCCCTGGCTCTGCTATGCCAGGGGCAAACAGCCAGGCTGGCTGCAGTAGCCCAAGGGCAGGGAGCTGCAGGGCACCTTGCTGGCCCTGTGCTGCTGCAAATATGGCTTGGGAGGGTAAGGAAACCCTGGGGTACAAGCTCAGGGATGTTCCTAATGAACCCATCCTTTTTCCATTAGTGAATTGCTGCAGTTTTACTCTCCCTCCATGCTTCATAAGCCTGTGGGATGGGAAAACCTAGGCAAAATAGGCACATACTCATGAGGCCTGGGCTAGCTCCCAAGGACTACACGGTGCTTTGAACATACAATTACCTCATAATGAAGGAGCCAAGAATGACACTGGCATACTGAAAAGGCACAGAATCACCTGCTCTCCAACACATTTAAATGTTTGGGGTTGTTTGGGTTTTTTTAAACCAACCCTGACAACGGATGCCAGGTACAAAGCTAGGCCTCACTCTGGCTGTGGCAGGTTTAAATGGGGGGTTTTCCCTTTAGAAACCAACATCCTGCTGCAGGCACACAAATGGGATGCTTCTGGGCATAAACATTGCCAGCAGCCCATAGTAGATGGCAACCAATATGATGAAGACACCAAGAATGAGGTCTTACTTGCCACTTCATCATTAGGACAGGTTATAAAGAGAGCACTGGGCTCCTTTGATCTTGACAGCTGTGTCCAACTCTTCCCTCCCTCTATGGCCGCTCAAAGACAGCGGACAAGCAGCAGCTCTCTTGAAGGCAAAAAGCAAGAACACCCCCCCGTGAAAGATTTCAGTCACTGCACTAGCAATTAGGGACAAATAGTGTGGCTACAGCTGGAGAGACTGGCCAGCCCCATCCAGCAGGGAAACCATCTGTGAAAGCATCCGTGGCCCT